GATGCACCTTTTCCAGCTCACTGCAGCCCACCCACTGATGATGCCACGTTCACTCAAAGCCACATTTATGGAGCCTTTGAGCCAGGAGGAGCTCCACAAGCTTCCTCCGTATGACGTCACTTCTCCCTCTGACAGATGCCGAAACAGAATCAGGAGACCTGGCCAAGGTCACCCAGCACAGCCAAGCTACAGTTCCGGGAAGACACTCTGGCCCCATCACTGATGCTCTTCACCAACCAGCTCTAAAATCTACACCAAAAAACTGGACTCCTTCCCAGATGCCTGGCTTCTTTCCAAAACAAAACTGCTTGCAACAAAGGCTTCCGGGGCCCCTCATCAGAGGACTGGTTAAACAATGTTGCCCTGATCGGAGAACGTTTTGTAGCCATTGTAAAGGGCTCGGAGGAAGAGCACAGGAAGACAGGAGGGATCGGGAGTGAGGGTTAACAGGGGAGGGAAACTGGTCCAGACCCTAGGTCCATGATCCTGTTTTGTAACAGAAAATGCAGGTAGAAAAATATATCAAGACTATAGATAAAAATGGGACCCACGGTTCCGTCAGCTTCCTGAGGACAGGGTCTTCTGGGCTCCTGTCTATACCCTGGAGGCCTAGAGGAGTCCCCCTCCCAGCAGCCACCGATGCACACTGAATGGATCCTGGAGCAAGGGAACAAGCCCGCAAATACCTGAGTGGCAAAACCGTAGCTGGGCCGATCTTGGTGTTGTTCTCTTCTTTGTGTGCAGTCTTCACCCTGAGCATTCTACAGGGACATGCACTAGACAGTGCGGAGACAGAGCCCGAGCCGAGCCTCGCCACCAGGCATGACCTGGGAGCCCTTTGGGAGCCCTTCCCAGGACAGTCTGACAGAGCCGACGTCCAGCCAGCCCAGCTCAGCCCACACCTGGCCCTGCCCTCACCCCCTGCCTGCTGACAGCAGGGACCCCCAGCCCCGCCCAGCACCTCCTCGCCTCCCTGCTTCTGGGTTCCGCTGACCCTGTGCTCTACTCCACATCACAGAAAGTCCACAAATACGATGACAACCACAGTAGGTGACACTTGTGGAGTGGACCTGCTGCCTCCATCCTCCTGCTGAACCCCAGTGCTGAAGGTAAACAAGTCACCTGCTCCAGGGTACCGGGTGCAGTGGAACCGCCTGCAAACTGCTCCCCCAGAGCCTGCACAGCCCCAGGCTGAGGGTCCAAGCTTGTCCACGTGGGGCCAAAGGCCTATGGCATGCAGCCTCCTGTGCGCTGAGGGGGGCACCGGCCAAAACTCTCAGGATGGAAAGCACAACGCATCACAGAGTAAAACACTTCTAGGAAGCAGCAGTAAGGACAACTGACACAGGGCACAGGACAGTTACAAGTCCCCCTCAGGGTCCCCATTTCACTCACAAACCCTGAGGCACAGGGAAGGATGCACCTGCCCAAGGCCACACAGCAAGGGAGAGGCAGAGCCAACCTGGGTCGCCATTGGCCATAAAAAAGGCGTGGCCTCCACAAGGGGGCGGGGCTAAATCCATGGGCTGGGAGGGCAAAGGAGTTCCACCCAGAGGAGCCCCCCTGATCCAAGGCAGCCAGGCTGGGGTCCCGAGCCCAGGTGCAAGTGCACAGGGCGGGTGCCGCGCTGTGGGCAGGAGGTGCTGCTGGGGACGGGGCAGAAGGCTGGAGGGCAGAAGGGGGTCTCGGGGTCTAGGACCGAGTGAGCTGACGGGGATGTGCTGGGGGATGTGCTGTCGGGAGATTCACTCCAGCGATGGGGGGATGGGGTGGAGGAGCTGCAAGTCGAGGAAGGTCAAGGGTTCAGAGCTGCAGGAAAGAGGAAGAAGGGGGAGGGCCGGCCCAGGCGCCTGCTGGGGTTTGCCGCTCTTGCCTTTGAAGCCACCACCCACTGTCCCCTGGTTTGGGTGAGGCTGCTCCTCCCAGGGGTGGGCTTGTGATGCAAGTGGCCACTTGCTGTCCCAGGGAGTGGGTTGGGATGCCACGACCTCAGCCAGGCCAAGGACAGGCCCTCCGGAACCCTGAACTCAGGCAAGGGCTTGCTAATGCTCCACCACAATGGCTCTGCCGGAGGGGCGGAGGCTGGAGCAGCTGGTGGCCATCTGTGTCACCACTCGAGGAGAACCCACCCCAGTGGCCCCCAGGAAGGGGGACAAAGAAAGAGGACTGCAGGGATGGAGGAGGCAGGCTCACCGAGGCGGCTTGTGCCCGGCAGCTCCCAGCACTAAAGCTACAGCTGGGCGTCCTGCCGCGCTCCTCTGCCAGGCTCCTACTGCCCTGGCAAGGCTTCCAGTGGCTCCCGGGCACTGGGCTGGAGCACAGAGCTATGGCAGAGGAGGTGAGAGCACAGAAGGAGGGGCCAGGCCAGCCCTGGACCAGGGTCAAGGCGGCAGGGCAAAAGGCCCCTAGCCCTGCTACGGAAAGAAACGGGAGGGTGAGGGGAGGGCGAGGGCAGGGCGCTGGCTTCTAAGGCCAGAAAAGAGCCTGAGAGCCCCCGCCCAGTTCAAGCAGGGAGAAGCCAGGTGCTGCTTCTGAGCCTCCAGCCACTGCACACTTGGGGAGAGGTGTTGGGAAACAGGAGCCTGTGCCAGGAGGGACACTTCTTCTCAGGTCTGCCAGACACCTGGCAGGGATGTGGGGCTCCCCATGAATCACAAGGGAGCAAATGTGTCCTTCGTAAATCACAGTCTCTCAAGAGGTGAGAACCTCAGCCTCTTCCCTAGAGGCTAAGAGCATGGGTTCCAGAGCCAGCCCAGCTGGATTCAAGTCCAAACCCTGCCACTTTCTAGCTGTGTGATCTCAGTTCCTGCATCTGGAGAAGGAGAACTATGGTAGTACCGGCCACACAGAGCCGATCTGAGGCATAACCAAGATAAGGTAGTTAAGTGCAGTGGCTGGCATGTAGCAAGGGCCAGGGAGGTTACTAGCTGGAGTTCTAAGTCCACAGTCAGTGGGTCATGAGGATGTGGCAGGGGAAGGAACGTGCTTTTTCAAGAGGAACAAAAGTAGACAGGACAACCAGGACTTGCCTATGTTGTGTCCAACAGATGGCTGGGGAGTGAGCAGACTCCAGCTGAAGCAGATGAGCCTTCAGATCCTGCAGCCCATTCACAAGGATCAACAAGCAGCAGGAAAAGCATTTTTAGCTCCCAGACAGACACTCCCCACTCCCATCCCTGCAGAGTGTGAGCAGAGGGCTCAGTGGAAAGCCACAGGCAGCTGGAGGAAGGAAGTGTCCTTGACCACCAGAGTAAGCCGGGTGCCCAGCGGCCAGGAGCGGCTGCGGGGGACCCACGGGCAGGATGAGGTGCTTTCTTCCTCAATCACCTTCTCCCTCTCAGTGGAGAAAACAGTATCTTCAGAGGCAGGACTCCGATGGCAGAGGGGACGGTGGGTGTGCAGCTGGAGGAAAGCCAGTGGATTTAGGACGAGGCCAGCAAAACGCAGCCTCAGAGCGGGCAAGGCCAGAACAGTTGCTGACAGTGCACAGGGCAGAGGAGAAGGAGTTCGCCCTTAGTCCACTTTAGAAAGCATTCACCAAGGAGACAGGAGAGAGTCAAAAGCCTGCCTTGGTCCTGCTCCACCCTCTCTCCAAGGGAGTTGTAGCACTTTGTGCTTCGAATATTTTAAGCAAATTATTTATAAAAGCAATGAATGAATGTCTAGAGACAACGCTCAAGGAGAAATTTTAGAAAACAGTACATTTAGTTACACACACACACACACACACACACACACACACACTCTTAGTAAAGCCCTGTCCATAGTAGACACTTCATAAATACCCTTTGAATTGGAGTAAATGCAAAATATTTCAATTAGGAAAGCAGCTAAGGAAAGAAGAAGCCACATTTGGCACCATTTGCTACTTTCCTCTATTTCCCAACTGACCCTACAGTTTTGCAGAGGCACCATCCTGAGCATCTCACACACACTGACTCCATCTGGATGACAATCCCATGACAGATAAGGAAACCCAGGTCCCCAGAGGTCACGTACCCTGCCTAACCTACACAGCTAGGAAGTAGCGGCTCTGGGATTCAAACCCACGCCCCGAGGTCCAGAGCTCATGCCCCAACCTCCAGGCCCTAACCAACCTCCAGGCTGGGCTGCCTTTGTCTGAAGCCTGTTTCCAACCTTAAGACCAATGACTGGGAGGGAATCACATCCCCCAGCTCCTTCAGGATCCTATTACCAGTGAGGCTGAGCCTCTGGCCTCTACTGAGGGGCTTATGGCAAGCCACACCACCTATTCTTTGCTTTCCCGGTTCACACAGGGAGCACATGGCACCCACAAATCTTAAGTATACGATTTAATGATCGTTCACTTAAGTATACACCTGGGTAACCCCCTCCAGATCAAATTATAAGACATTTCCAGCTCCCAGCACCTCCTCCATGCCACTCCCTGCCCCATTCAGTAGCTCTGCACCCTAAAGGTAATGGCTATTTGGATTCTTCCCACTGTGGGTTAGATTTACCTCTTCTAGAATTTTACATAAATGGAAGCAAATAGGGTACATTCTTTCCTATGTGGCTTTATATTCTTCAAGTTAAGAAGCTCATACATAACCAGGACACATGGTTGTAGGAGAAAGGACAATGTAGCTTTTCTCTCTCCCGCATGAAACCCCAGGAAGGCTTCGTTTGGATCACTAACCCTACAAAGAGGATGGTGGGTTGGGTTGGACACTGGAGTTTGGAACTGTGTGAGCTGACCCTGGAAAACCAGTGAACCACAGGGGGCAAAGGAGCTGCTCCAGAGGAGAGGAGCTGCCTGGAGAGGGTGCTGCCGAGTCAGGATATCTAGCAGGTCACTCATACCGCTGCGGGGTCCAAAGAGGGAGAGGCTTTATGAGGCTTTAGAAAGCTCAGATCCGGTGCCTCCAACAGATCCCCGGAGGCGCCCAGGACCCCCACCTGCTCCTCCCAGTTGGGCCTTGGCGGATCCTCCCCCAGGAACTGACAATCTCCCCAAAGATCGCGAATCGCTTCCCTACCTGTGCACTGTTGGATGAAGTGCTGGTACTCGGCTCCCTGCTCCCCGGGGACGATGGTTGAGCCTTCATATTTAAAAGTCACCCTTTGGGTTGGGAGAAGAAAAAAACACACACATCAGCGCTGGCGGTTGCAGGGTGCAGCGCTTCCAGCAGGCCAATCTAAGAGATGCTCTGGCCAAGGGGCCAGCGCTGGCTTTCCACGCTGTCCTGGAATAAGGATGCAGAAGACAGCAAGGGATGACCCTTAATCCGTCCCGTTTGGAAAACGGTTCGACGCACCAGGCCCCTCGAGAGCTCGGGGAGCGGGGCTTGGAGATCAATGAAAAGTTCCTCACCAGATGACTGCCGAGTTGTCGTCGCGCACCAGATTATACGCCGCCCGGCAAGCCTCCTTGTCGATCTTGGTGGCCATCGCAGCGGGGCTGCAACCGGAACACTGCCCGGAGCGACCGAGCGCGCCCCGGGCCCGCGGCAGGGATCGGAGCGAGGCGGGAACGCGCCGAGGGCGGGCTGGCGGGATGCAGCGGCGACGGCTACAGCAGCGCAGCGCCAGCGAGCTCCGAGCACTGAGGCGGCTCCGACTGCCTACCGAGAGCGCGCTGGCAGCGCAGGCCGCGGTCGCCCCGCCCCTCCCTCGCTATTGGCCCCTCGGGCGGCGGCTCGCCCCGCCCCTTGTCTCCATTGGTCTTCCGGCCGAGGGGCGGGGCGCCTTCAGCCTTCAGCGGCCAATCCCGGCCACGGTGGGTGGCGCAACCCCGCGGCGGGGTGGAGCAGGGGCCTCTCGACGGCCGGTCCTCCCCCACCCGCTCTCCTCTGCCCTCCCGCGGCTCTTCCCCTCCCCTGCGCCACTCTCCTCCTTTCCTCCTTTCCTCCCAACCACTCCTCGAAGCTCCCTCTCCCTCGACTCCTTTTCCTCCCCATTTCCGACTCCCAACCTCTCGGCCTCCCTCACCCTTCTCTTCTCCCTCCTCCTGCCTTCTCTCTCCTCCTACTCCCTCCCCGGCTCTCCTCCACCCGTTTGCTCCCCCTCCCCTCCTTCCTCCCTTCCCTTCTCCCCCGCAGCCCCTCCTCGCTTGTTCTCCGCCTTCCTCTCCTAGCTCATCCCACCCTACGCCCCTCACCTCCCTCCTCCCCAGCCCTCTCCTCCCTCCCCCTCCTCTTCTTCCTCCTTCTCTCCCCTCCTTTCATCTCCCTCCTCCTCACCCCTCTACTACCTCCTCCCCCTCACTCCTCCCTCCCTCTCCCCACCCCCTGCCCCCAAGGCTGCAGGGCTTTAGAGCGCCCCCCCCCAACACCTCCAAGTGGATGACATAATGCCGCAAACCAGAGGAGACAGGCTGGCCGCTGCCCCCACCCCAGTGTTTGGTGCTGTGGATTCTGGGTGGGGAGGAATTGGAAAGAACTGAGCATTTTAAATAGGAGGGGGGAGAAAGTGGACTGCTTCCAAAATGCTGGTGGGATCACTGTTGACTTTGTCTTCTGGTCATTTGCATTCATGACTTACCTCCCCGTGGGATCAAGAGCTGACTCATCCTCTCTTGCTGTTCCTTCATCCAGCCCTTCCATGAAGTCCACTCACAGCCTGCAGGCAGGTAAAAGGCTGGACCTGGAGCCCAGGCTCTTGGACTGCTCTGGTGCTGCCACTTTCCCGCTCTGGCCACTGGGCCAGCTTGAGACCTCTGAGCACCTTCATGGAACAGGGAAAAGAGCAGACCACTGTCACTGGTGAGTCTTAGGGTTAGGTGGAGTGACACAGGGAGAATATATATTATCATTCATTTAAAAATCATTGTTACTAAGTAATTAAAATAAATCCCAAACAGAAACCCAGAAGGTTAGGGACAACATGCAAATTAATATTGGAATTGTTAGGACTGGAGGTGTAGCCCAGGAGTGGATCACCTGCCTACCCAACACCACCACGAGAAGAGAGGGAGGGAGGGAGACAAAGCAGCAAAATGCTCACCACTATTGGTCTTTTATCATCTAGAGAGATCAACCTAAAGAAGGAAAATGAGCACCAGATGTGACCAGGCAGATCCAACAACTCTTGAAACACATGAAAAGATACTCAGCTTCATCCCTGATAAGAGAAATAAAAAGTCAGCAAGACTGAGATACCTGGAAGATAATTCTAGGGCTGGGGGTGCAGCTCAGTGGAGAGCACTTGCCTTCTGGGGATTTGGCTCCGTTGGTAGAGTGCTTGCCTCACATGCACAAGGCCCTGGATTCAATCCCCAGCACCAAAAAAAAAAAAAAAAAGTTCCAAGCCCTTGCCTTCCATGTGTGAGGCCCTGAACTCCAGCCCCAGTTATAAAAATAATAATCAATCGTACGAAGGCTGGCAAAAACCAGACTCTGGCTAGTCTCATTGGCAGGAGATGAAGACCCAGCCCTGGTGGACCCTGCTGGTAGGAGCCTGAGTTGACAAAACTCCACCCCCTCAAACCTCCTCCCGTGGAGGCCATTTGGCCATATCTGGTACATCTTTAAATCTCTATGGCCTTGGGGGGTTAGGCTACCCAGCCCTGGCTGGACACTGGGATCCCCAGGATGCTTTGGTCTCCCGCTCAGAGCTTCTGACGATGGGTGGTGGAACTTCTGAAAACCCCAAGGGTGATTCTCATGCACACTTGAAGCACAGAGTCCTGCTACAGATACCTTTGGACGCATGTAAAATATATTCAAGGGCTGGAGTTGTGGCTCAGAGGTAGCGTGCTCAGCTAGCACGTCCGAAGCCCTGGATTTGATCCTCAGCACCGCATGAAAACAAATAAAATAAAAAAGTGTTTGTGTCTAACTACAACTAAAAAATAAATATTTTAAAAAATATATACTCAAGGTTTTGTATTGGTTCATTTCTAACAGCAGAAGGACAGGAATAGCCCAACTGCCCATCAGTGGTGGACGGGCGAGTGGATGGTGAGACTGGTGCAACACGAGGAGTACGCAGCTGTGAAAGAAAAACAAGGACCCTCTCCGTATGCCAATATGGAATGTTCCACAAGATCTGGCACATAAACCATGCCAGGTACAGAACAGCGTGTTCAGAACACTGCTGCTTTGGGGTAAAATGGAGCACGGGTAAATAGACATTCATACCTGTTGATATGTGCATTAAACCTTCTCAAAAAGCACTCAAGAGAACAATCACAATGGCACTTGCTGAGGAGGCAAAGCAAAAAGCCCACGGAGGGGGCGGAAATGTTACTATTTATCTTTTAATTTTATTTGGAACCTTGTGAATGCATTATCTATTAAGAATATTAAGTTGCCACCAAAAAGAAGGGGCTGGCATCATGAATTTGACACCCCCTGTATCTGGGCAGGTCAGCTTCCCTGGAAGAGCCCTGTGACCAGTGGACAACTGGGAAGCCTGCTCCTGCCCCACCGTCCCTTGTTCTTTCTACTCGTTGTTGTGGGCGCCCTCTACTGGACTCAAGATGTAAAAGCATCAATTTTTTGTTTGGGAGGAAGGGTCCTGGGGATGGAACCCAGGGGTGTTTTCCCACTGAGCTATATCCTCAGCCCTTTTTATTTTATTTTACTTTTTTAATTTTTGAGACAGGGTCTTGCTTAGGGCCTCACTAAGTTGTCAATGCTGGCCTCAAACTCGTGATCCTCCTGCCTCAGCCTCTCAAGTCTCGCAGAAGCATTGACTTTAAAGGGAACCCTGCTCTGGAGCACCTTGCTGTCCATTTGCCCAGCTAAGGCAGAAGAGAAAGAGAAGAGAGAGAGAAGGAGGGCGGGAGGGGACGAGAGAGGGAGGGAGGGAGGGAGGAAGTCAGGAAAGAACTGCACACTAGCAATAAATACTGTGGCTGCGCGTGGCGGCGCTTGCCTGTAACCCCAGCTACTCGGGAGGCTGAGGCAGGAGGAGGATCGCAAGTTCAAGTCCAGCCTCCACTTAGCAAGACCCTTTCAAAATTTAGAAAAGTTTTAAAGGTCTGGGGCAGAGCACTTCCCATATTCAACCCCTAGTACCTCAGAAAGAGAGAGAATTAATAGGCAGCACACTCATCTGTGGAGTCAGTCCTTCATTTCTGTGTTCCTGGCACTGGGCCTGTGATGGCCCAGGACACCTCACAGGCTCACCCGCCTGTAGGGACAGGCATGTAAGTAAATGAACCCGCCACACAGGCTCTAAGAAAGATTTTCCTGGAAAAAGTGGTCCTCTCTGTTCTGCCTTCCTCGTGGGTCAGTTCCTCTTCAGAGCAGCGTCCACACCCAAAGGGGGACCCTGATTCAGTTCCGTCTTGGCTGCTGTGCACAATAGCACCAAGCCTTCCAGTGGTTTACGAAAAGCAAAAGAGGTGGTCCTCTTAAAATGTGACCTACAAGAGCTGAGTGCAGGCAAAGTTGAGCCAGACAATTATTCCCCAACCTTCACGCAGCTTATGGTCTAATGTGTGCTTCAGTGTGGACAGAAAAGTCAATTCTAACCCAAGGAATAAAAAGTCCAAGGTGGAATTCAGGCACAGTTTAATCAAGGCTGTGGCTTGACAGTTCTGCATGCCTCTGTTTGCCCTCCTTAGTGGATCAGTTTCATCTTCAGCCATATTCTGCCCCTCTGCCTGGCACACCTTACCCCCAAATCTGTGTGGCTGACTTCCCCTTCTCAAATGTTAGCTCCTCAGAGTGGCCTTCCCCGGCACTCCGCTGTGGAAGAAGACCCCCTGTACTTCTCCACCAGCCCCTCTCTGCCACATAGTGTCTTGTCTTCCCGCACCCACTAACCACTACCTGAAATCACCTCTTAGTACGCGTCTGCTCTGCACTTTGCCTATCCATTCCTGGAAGAACATCAGGTCCACGGGGACAGGGACAGTGTCCCTCTTGATCTCCACGGCTCCGTGAGCCACACAAACCCCACACAGACCCAGTTCTCTGTTATGGAGCAGCTGGATGCAGCACGAGGAGGAAGAGTCAAGGAGGTGAACTGGGAAAAGCAGAGAGCAACAGGTGGAGCCCAAGGTAGATCCCCACATTTATGATCAGTTGGTCTTCAGCAGAGAGGTGCCAAGACAGTGCAGTGGTCGAGAATCGTCACAAATGTTGACAAGAAAAACGAATGTCACAAGGGAAGGAGGAGGGCAGACTCCCTCCCTCTCACCACAGACCAGTGAATCCAGATGGGTCACGGGGCCCTGGCTCGGATGTGGGGGTGACTCTTCTGTGGACACACTGGCGTGAATCTTCCCCACGGTGGACTGAGAAAGGATTCAGATTCTACCCCAAAACTGAAGTGGCCAGAGAATCAGAGGCTCTGAGCTCCATCAGCGTTAAAAAGGTGTGTGATCCGAAGGGCACCGCAAGAAAGTCAAAAGGCCACTCAGACCGGGAACCGAGTGGGCAGATCCTGTGTCTGACCAGCGTCACTGTCCAGATCCACGCAGAGCCCCACCAGGAAGGCACAGGCAACCTGTTTACAAACGGGAAGGGGCCTGGGTCTGATCCCCAGGAGAGAGAAGAAAGACAGAGAGGAAACAGACTGGTGGTTTCTCAGCACAGTAAACCTCAGAGCCGCCCCATGCCTGAGTTCGTTCCCAGGCTTGTTCCCGAGAAAAGCAGAAACACATCCACTAAGGTCTCACGTGTAAATATTCATAGTGACACTGCTCATAAGAGTCCCCAGGGGAAGCTCCAGGGCCATCGGCTAAGAGCAGGTAGGCCAAACGGGACGCACCCACCCAGGGGAGTATTATGGGGCCACAAAGGAAAGACGGGCAGACGGGCTGCGGCCCGCCCGAGGAACTTGAAAACCTAAAGCCAGACACAGAGACCACGGTGTGCGCCTGTTGATCTGAACGCCCAAAACCAGCAGGTCTGTGGGGACAGAGGCCATGCCACTGCCTGGAGAAGGTTCAGAGTGACTTGTGATGAGTGTGGAGCTTCCCCGGGTCCATGCGGACCTCCTGCGGTTAGAGGAGGTGCTGGTTGGTGACCTGGTGAACACGCTCCGTCGCACTCTGGAAAACGAATGTTCAACCTAAAAAGAAAAAAATCAAGGCACGCTCCCGGGTGGGGGCCGGAACTCCTGGTGAGTGGGAGGGAGGCGAGGCGGAGAGTGAACAGGTGGCATTTGAGCCACTCCGGGGACCTGGAAGTGGCCCTGTCCAGCAGCCCTGCAGGTTGAGACCCAGGACAGAGACTGTGCCCAGGGACCGAGTTGGAGGCCAGGGTCTGCAGTGGGACCAGGCTGTGGGCACAGCTGAGAGGCTGCGGGGTGAGGGAGGGGGAGGGAGGAGGGAACCCAGGAGGGGCCCTGCTTTGTCCGAACATGGTTTGCCCCCCTCAAGGCTGGTGCTGAAATGTGGCCCCCAGCATAATGGTGCCGGGTGGCCGCTGGGTCTCTAAGAGGTGATTAGGTCACTAAGAGGATTAAGGCCTTGCTGGCAGGAGGAGGCTCCTTCCCCTGGGACAGGATTAGTTCTCACCAGGGCGGCCACAATAAGGTAAGGCCGCCCCTAGTGTCCCGCCTCTTCCCGGCCAGCCCACTGCCCTCTGCTCGCCACCAGAAGCCCTGGCGGAAGCTGAGCAGGTGCTGGACTTCCTGGCCCCCAGCTCCGTTATGTGAACCTCTTTCCTTTGTAAACCTCCCAGTCTCAGGTATTTGTTGTTATAGCAACAGAAAGTGGACAAGCCGGAAAGCCATCAGCATTGGTCAAATGTGACCCAGGCCTGCAATGGTAGGAGGGGAGGAGGAGGGGCTGGGGAGGGCCTGGGGGGTGAAAGATGGTGCCTACATGTGTGTGTGAGTGAGTGTGTGTGTGAGAGTGTGTGAGAGAGAGACAGACACAGAGATGGTGGTGAGGAACCCAGGCCCTGTGGATGCGAGGCACACTGTACCGCAGAGCTACACCCCAGCCCCCCAGGATTTTTAGACCTGCTGTGGAGCCAGGAAGGGAAGAGTGAGCAGGGACCGGGACGGCAGCTTGCAGGAGCCCCTCATGCCCTCCTCCTCCTCGGAGCCCCCGTGGCCCCTGTGGACAAGGCACACCACCCGGCACGAAGAGCAGCCGCCTGTTCTACTCGCGTGGGTCACGCAGCAACCGTGTCATCGAGCAAGGCCTCGTCACTCTGCACAGCACTGCCACCAACGCTCGCATCGGCCGGGCAGCCTGCACCTGACCACATAGACCAGGGAGCTGAGGCAGGGGGCTGGACGCCTTGGAGATGCCATTGAGCCCAGCTGGCCCACCTCAGGGGTTTGGCCTGGCTCCTGGCTTTTCCTTGCAGCTACAAATTAAAAACAAA